GTTTCTCTCCTAAAAGCTGTTCCTTCTGTAAGAAACCATTTTGCCTGTATCTCTTATTCTTCAGGTTCAATTTTCAGATTAAATGTCATCTCCTAAGAAAAGGTCTTTTCTTAGTTTCTTTTTCTGCCAAAAAAGAGAGTCTTCATCCCAGTGACATACCCTCTATCTTTATACCCTGAGTGTTTGCACAACACTTTTCAGTTTGTACTTCTTTGTCTGGATTTCTTCCTTCTGTCTTACTTATTAGAATACAAATTATATAATAAAACCAGGAGCTACATTTACCTTGTTTATCATTTTTTTCTCCAGCATTTAACACTGAATCTAGTATCTAATAGACAAAAAAAATTCGTTGAATAAATAAATTAATCATTGTTTCTGTCATAAGGTTAAACTTGGAGCTAAACTTTTTTTATTAGAGAATCACTTCTCTTTTCCCCTCTACTAGCTTCTGCTGGCTTCTCTGTTGAGAGAACTTTCTTGCTGTTTCTTACATGGCTCTCCTCCAGTGTGCAATTGTGAGTTAATGGGGAGAGATGCAGAATTAGAGGGAGAGGTGTAGCTTTGATATCTGTTCCTCTTCTTAATATAATAGCAGATTTTTTGGAATAAGACATACCTTTATGACCTCAGTTAACTTTTATTACTCCCTCAAAGGTTCTGTCTCCAAAGGGTCATTAGGGATTTGAGATTCAATATGCCACTGTGGGGAAGGGGTGAGCAGGAGGCACAATTGAGCCTTGAACTATAACCAAATAACACATAGTAGTCACTTAGATAGTCTCTTTTTCGTAATGTGATAATACTGTGAGTTTCTAGAAACCTTATGCTGTTACCAGAGGGAGAAAAATTCTTATTTTATGTAGTTACTCTACACATGTATGGAATTGTTTGAAAAGAAACCTGCACTCCTGTGTGCATGTAGTACTATTTACAATACACAGGATATGGAAACAACTATAGTACCCTTTCCTTCCCACCAAAAAAAAGAAAAAAAAGATAGTAGATCAAGAAGATGTGGTATGTGTACACAGTTCAGTACTGCACAGCAATCAAAAAAGATATAATAAACTCATGCTGTTTGAGGCAAGATGGGTGGAGCTGAAAGGATAATTATTTCACTTAGTGAAATAAGCCAGAAGGACAAAGATAGGTCATTTATATGTGGAATATAGAAAAACCCATCAAAGGACCAGACAGAGACAAACTTTAAAATAAGCCTTGAAAACTAACCATAGGGCCCTCCCTGGTGGTACAACAGGTTAAGATGTAGCACTGCAAGCCAGCCACAGCCACTTCAGTATGAGTTCGATCCCCAGCTTTGGAGGTGACCCACATGGCACAACAGACGTCTCCTGCCTCGCCTGCTTCTTCCCCTGCACCTCTGGCCTATACCCCAGTTCTGTATGCAGAAATAAATCGTTAAAAAAGAAAACTGACCATAGAGCACCTGCTTCCCTGGCAGCACAGGGGTTAAAGATAGTGCTATCAAGCCATTGCCAGCTACTGCAACACAAGTTTAACCCCAGGCAAGGGAACTGACCCAAATGGTGCAGCAGATCTCTCCTCTCTCACCTACTGCTCCCCTCAGCAGTGTATTTCAGTAACTCTGCCTGTTCTGCTCCCAACTCTGTCTCTGGCAAATCCTCTTACCTCTGCCATACCTCCCATACACCTCAGTGCTTGCATGCATGCATGAGTGCATAAATCAATCAATCAAGCAATCTTTTTTTTTTTTAAGATTTATTTATTTGTGCATACAGAACTGGGGTACAGGCCAGAGACTCAGGGGCGGTGAGAGGCTTCACTGGAGACAGAGTGGGGAGCAGAACAGACAGATCAACGAAGTACACTGCTGAGGGGAGCAGCAGGCGGGTCAGGAGAGGTCTGCCACACCATGTGGTCACCTCCGGGGCAGGCGGGAATCAAACTCATGCGGAAGCGTCTTCAGATTCTCAGTGCTGTGCTTTAACCCACTGCACCACCAGGAAGGGCCAATCAAGCAATCTTTTTTAAAAAAGAAAAGAAAACTGACCATAGATTTAAGGCATCCAGACTGGAAAGAAGAGGGGGTAAAAATGGAAGAGGGGGTACAAAAGACTATGGTGTTGAGGATTGGATTCTTTGGAAGTAGGAGTGCTAAGGTGACTGTACCTGAGAGGGGGAAATGCACTGTTAAAACACTAACAAGAATGTAAAGCTGTATTTAAGTTTAACAAAAATATGTGAAAAATAACAAAAATGCACTTCTGATATCTGGGATATTGGGTGTACTTTGCTCGATCACTTTTTTTTTCCCTCCCATTTTTCTTATGGAATACCCTTTTAATGCTGATTTATAAAAACTTCTAAAAATATATTTTTGCATGTGAATCCTTTACTTTAAATGTTACAGATATGTTATCCTGGTCTGCTCCTTGTCTTTTAACTGTTTGTGGCATCTTGTGGAATGAATATTTTTCATCTGTAAGAATGTCAGGGGGCTTTATGGTGCAGTGTTTTTGGTGTAGTGTTCAGCAAGGTCTTCCCCATGTAGAGTTATTTAAATTTTTCCTAGCACTTTATAATATTGTTTGTTCCATTGGAGTTTATTTCAGTAGTGGCCATCTAAATGGCTCTGTTTGATGTGTTTTTCTAATTACATCAATTGTGTACCAATTTTGTACTTTTACCAATTGTGTACTTCTTATTACAATAGGTCTTGTACTCTAAGAGAATATTTGTCCTTTGCTTATTTTATACAGCTGTTCTGCTGTTTTTAGCTAATTTCCTTCATTTGTCTCTGCTATTTTTTTTCTTTTTTAAAAAATTTATTTATTTATACATACAAAAATGGGGTACAAGCCAGAGGTTCAGGCTGGTATGAGGTTTCACCAGAGACAGAGTAGGGAACAGAACAGGTAGATCGACAAAGTACACTGCTGAGGGGAGCAGCAGGTGGGTCAAGAAAGGTCTGCTGTGCCATATGGATCACCTCCAGGGCCGGGGATCGAACTCACACTGAAGTGGCTGCAGCTAGCTTGCAGTGCTGCATCCTTACTCGTTGCACCACCAGGGAGGGCCCTCTGCTATTACTTCTTAATGTTGCAGTATCTTTACTCTTTCCTGCTCTGTAACTATTAATATCTATAAAATAGAAAACGAGGTAACTACTGGTATTTTAGATAAAAGTCTCTCAAGTTGAGAAAATGAGTTCATGTGAAATTGAATCATGGCTAGAATTTTCAACTTCCATCTAGAATGTTCAACATCAATACATAAAATTTTATTTTTAATTTCTCAGTATTAGAGGGTTTTTTTTTAGTTTCTTGGTAATAAATGGTTGATGTTTCTGAATGTGAAGCCTATAAGCATGTAATTTTAAAATGTTTTTTTTTAAACTATGTTTTAGTCACTTTATTGAACAACTTTGTTTCCATCACTTTATGTTAGTAAGAGTTATCTTCAGGAAACACATATGATAAAATCCACTTTTTACTTTGACTTTTCTTTTGTAACAATACATAGAAAAAAAATAAAATTAAAAAAAAAAAAAAGATGAGTAGCATTTTCCTCTTATTTTAAATCAGCTATAGCTAGATGCTGTTTTAAGAGCAGCATATGTTACCGTGAGCTTCATTAATTCAAGGTCAGCTTTTAAAAGGGTTTTGACCTGCTTTATGCTTTGAAATTATAACTCTTAGTGGCTTTAGACAGGCTTTGCTTTTTCTATACCTATACCTTTTCTATAGCGTACATAAGGAGCTTAAGGTGGCCATCTTTTTTTTTTTTTTAACTGAAAAGTCAATAAAATCCTGTATTACCTGTTTAAAATAAAACAAGTGGAAAAGTAGATGTATACAAATAAAAGATTTTGCATCATTCTAATTTATTTTACATTTGTTGTTCAACATGCTTTTTAAATTTTTTTAAGCTTTTGTTTTACTTTGATGTCTCTCAGATACAATGAATTTTTGTGTGTGTTTTGCGTATTATTTAAGGAAATGTCATTTATCTTATTCCTGGGCAGGTAAACTTTTTAAGGATTTCTGGGATTGCACTAAGTTTAGGAACATCAAACATTTTTTCTTTTTCTAGTCATTTCAAATTTAGAGTTACCCAGAGATTCAGAAATAGAATAGTTACATATTATGATTATTCTGGAGTCTAGTCTGTTCTCACTTGGACGACAAACTTACTCTTTCAGGCTTTGGTTTCTGAAGCTACATATATTTGTACTTAAAGATTCAGTAAGTCAGTCTGTTGTATGACAAGATTCACAAGATGAAACTAGTCTACAGAGACATGTACTGATTGTATTTAAAATACACAGTATCTTTTAAATATCTAGTTTATGATTGCTCTTAAAAAGTTGGAAGATCTGACAACCTGGGCCCCACCATGTCAGCTAACTAGATGGACATGTGCTCTCCCATTTGTCTTATCCTGAAGGTGTCTGACTGCCTGGCAGCACACACACTTGCACACTCTCACGGGCTCAATTCACTTATGTTCCTACCTAGCAACTAAAGATTTGGAATGTCTACCTTATAACCACCGGTCTGTATCTCCTTCTCTGTTTCTGTTGTAGCTAAAATAAAAATAAGTAAAAATCAATTTAATATAGTTGGAACAGTCAATACATGTTTCCCCAGAGACATATAACAGATTCCATTCTTCATTTATTGTCTTTCTTCTTCCTTGACATTTTAATCTACAGTCTTGCTAAAACCTACTCACTGCAGTTCCTGGCACCTTGAGTCTTCCTTGATCACCTCTGTCTACTGTAGTGTCTTCTTTTTTGAAGTTTTAAAACCCTTAATAGTTTTATTCAATTATATAATGGTTGTATTGTTGTGAAGAGGACTTTCATTAGTTTTTTCTTAATATAACTCACAGCTTTTTTTTTTCTTCAGAAAAATACATATATTATTTTCACTTTGGACTCAAGTAATGACTTCAAATTTTATCTCCTCAGTTGGCTTTTGAATACTAACTTTAAATATTTTCCTTGCTTTCAGTGACAGATGAGGACACGGTAAAGAGGTATTTTGCCAAGTTTGAAGAAAAATTTTTCCAAACCTGTGAAAAGGAACTTGCCAAAATCAACACATTTTATTCAGGTGAGTAATTTTTTTGGTAGAACAAGTTCAATTTGGGAGAGATTCTACCATGTTGATGTTTAAACTTTTGATCAACATTTTAAAGTTGGAGCTTGTTTTCCCTGCTAAATTATTACACTTAAGGGATATTTTCTTTAGTTGAAGAAGGAAATGTATTTAGTATCTCAATATTTAAGCCTTTGAAGTTAAGAAAAATATTAAAAATCCCTATTTGTTTATTTATTAGTTCTAGTCATTTTAAATTTGGAGTTTTGTGTTTACTCCCCTATTCCCGCCATCTGTTTTTCCATCTTAATTCAAGGTTCTTGACTTCTCATTTTATTCCAGTTGATCTCTCCCATCCCAAATTCCTTTTCCATCAATTATTTTAACCACTGGCATTTGTACTTTTTGTTAACCCTTTGTACCTTAACCTCGTTGCTTTTAACTCTCTGTCTAGTGAATCAATCCAGTTTTTTCTTTTCTCCATATCTACCTGAGGGGTGTTTAGGACAGCTAGGAGAAAAATCATGTAGCAGCACAAATTTGAACTACTATGAATTTATTGCTACATTCTTAACTTTATTAGAAAAGCTGCCTATTTGTCCTAATTAGTGTCTTTTTTAATGTTCTAGAGTGCTTCTCTAAACTGTCATTTTCTTGAATTCTCTAATCCCACCATTTTCCCCATCATGCTTATTACCTTTTACTTGACCAATAAAAATAAGGACCTTTAGCAATTGACAAATGTAAATCCCGCAATTAGGAGGTAGGAAAATAAAAAGGAGCCAGTAATGTAGACAGAGGAGAGGACAGCCATGTAGCAGGAGGAGGAGATTAATGAGAAAGACATTTGCAGTCAAGAGTGTTCAGACTGAGAAAAAGCTGTTGGATGTAATCCAACACTGTCAATGGAAGGTATTCAAGGTCATGTTTGTTAGCATTTTTCTTTTACTATGCTTTTATGGGGGAAAGATCTTTGAGCCTATCTCTAAATAAATACTTTAGATCACAAAAAGTAGATAATGCACCTTGGTTTGCAAGGTGCAAAAATAGATATATTTTATATTATGATTAACAGCAAAAAGTACAAATGATGACCCATTAAACATGACAAGTATGTGTATTGAATGTGTTAATGCATCTATATATGCATACATGTAATATTTTAAATAAAGTATTGTAATGAAGTATTTTTTTTCTTTATAATAGTTTATTTTTACATCATTTTGTACTTTTTTTTTCATCTCAATTGTAATCCCCATGGGTTTCCCATCATTGAATCACCCGTGTACTCCATAGTCCTGTGTACTTCCCTCCCCGTTTTTGATCCCATTCCCCACTCCACCCCCACAAAATGTCTCTGGTATATGGCTGTATGGCTGTTCATTATTCTTACTATTTTCTCACCTGGTCCACTATACTCCTGCTATGAGCAAAACTATCCAGTATTTTTCTTTTCTTTCTGGCTTATCTCACTAAGCACGATCTTTTCCAGTTCCATCCAAGTTGCTGCAAAAGACATGTGTTTCTCTTTTTTGGTTGCTGAGTAATA